AAAGCAGTGGTCCCCAACCCCCGGGCCATGGACCGGTCGTTTGGTACCAGGCCACGAGAATTGAGAATTGAGGCTCGGGTGTGAAAATTATGGTTTTTGGTGTTTTTAAATCAGCTTTTATTGTTATTTTTTTATCGTTTTTATCGTTAACTCGGTTTCCCTGGGACATTTCCCGTGTGTTATGAATACATCTTATTTTTTTGGTACCGGTACTGGTTTTATTTTGTTGTATTTATCCGCGACACCTTAAAGGCCGTGAAAATATTGTGGGACATAAACCAGTCCATGGCGCAAAAAAGGTTGGGGGCCGCTGCTGTAAAGGATCCCTTGATATCACATTTGAATGTTTTGGTTAAGTATCATTTTCTAATGCACAGAATGAAGAAGCACAAGCTTTCCTGGTTAAATCAAGGGAAGTAAAAACCAGACAAAGCAAAACATAAACCTCAAAAAAGGACTCGAACCACACCGCAGTCTTCTTTCTGACAACTGCGTGACTTCCTCCAGCGCCAGTTTTCCAACATCCTAATGCAGAGTTTCAAGTTAAGGCCATTTTAAAACGCAAATTCTCCCCACAATACATTTAAAAAACGTTCTGCTTTTCTCAGTGTCAATAACCAGACACAAATAACTATGTCGACTCTGGCATATGCAGATGTCCATGCTAGTAAACGGACTCAAAATCAGTTTAAAAAAAGGTAAACAGCCATAATACCATTGCTAACCTCTTACATGATATCTAATATTTTGCAGATTCTTGAAGTGTTTCGTGAGAACACAACAATCTCAAATTCTCAAACAAAGAAGAGCTGATACTTGCATTTATTGAAGCAGTATAAATGATAAAGTGGAACTTAAAAAGAAGAGTGTAGTCGCTCCACCGCTCGCCCAGAATTAAGTGGCAAATCAATAAAAATGGTAGTGAGAGAAAGCTCGGTTTGTCAATGTCATTTTTTTTTCTGTTGGCTTATCTTTGACTCACCAACAAGACTGGCAAACATAAGTGTGCTGCGTGCAGTTTACTGCTATCATGTTCCGGTAATTCTTAACATGAAAGTTGACACTGAATATACCTTTTGTTTTCAAAAGGCAGTGTAATCCACGAAGGTGAGAAGGAGCTTAATATGTGAATCAGACAAAACTGTCACCTCTAATACAAGAGGAGTAGGAAGGCTGTTTTCCAGTAACGATACGTGGAGGATTTGCGTTCAGGAATACCAATCCTGTGTCTAGTTTCTGTTATTTATTTCTGGGGAAATAATGTGGTGTTAAATGCGGATAAACTGACCACCATTAAATACTCACTTGTCCCAACTTACTACACAGCCCCAGGGTTGTGCCACAACCCTTATGTCTACCTTACGTCACCTTACTTTGAAGGTAAACATTTTAATCATATGACACAGAGACTTGTAGTTCTACTGACTGTTCACCATTTTAAGGTATTTTCCTCCATCCTTACCTGGGTTTTGGGAGAAACACCTGAACCCTTGGTGCTTATTTGACCTGAAATGGCTCGCTTTACATATATTACTAACTACCATGGTGGTGGTTTCACAAAATACGGGTTCCCCTCTTTGTAAAATTTGAGCCACAAATTCACCCTGAAAACTCTCTTTTGTGAGGCTCAGATTTGTGATCTTTTACACAGAAGGCCTGTCTCAACATCAGCCAATGCTCCTCCTACAGTTTCTAACAGATACACAAAGAGTGGCAGGTCCACAAACAGAGGAGAAAACAAGCTAGCAGAGTTCATGCTTTATTTCCTGCTCAAACATTCCTGTCCAAGCCACACTTTTTCACACAGTGGTAGAACCAAATATAGGCATCGGTGAGGTTTACCATGTCCCTTGGTGCTTAGAAGCACATCCAGAGGTTTCAGGTCTTTCAGTAAATTCCTGCTGAAACAATGAAATAGACATTTAGCTACATAATGATCATAGTTCCTACAGTATAGCATCCTTATCAACATATTAATCTGCTTCCAGTGAGAAATTACAACTTAACTCATAATTCTGCCATATTTAAGTTGTGTAGTTGTGTGATTTTTGTCCTTTATAACTGTTTTTCAAGTTACTTTGGTGCACATTAATCAGCTATGTGCCGCTTGTTCCAGGCCTGGAAGGGGAATCAAGTCTGAGATGCCAACCTACCTATCTACAACAAGGCAAGATACTGAACTTAAATTAGAAACAAACAAGATTAGGAGCAGCGGAGGGTGGGCGGGTATGAGGGGCACTTGTGAAAACGCACACAAAATAAATAAGGATATAATATGCATATGATGGACTATTTAGGATTGAAATTAACAGACTGTGCGTGTTCAAAAAGACTGGAAACATTTAATATCTCTAGTCTTTAGGATTCCTGTAATTACCACAAAGACCCTGGAGGTTAACCAAACATCGTCAAGTCCTATTACCGTGTTTAATGAATCTCCCGTCTACAAAAAGCCTCCCTCACACAGCAGTTAAATTCCACAACAGAGTGACTATTACACAAACAAATACATAACTGAGGGTATAGATGGTTAACTTTTGTAACCTTACTGATTTGCTACAGAGGGCAGATCAAACGGGTGAGACTGATAGGTTTACTTTTTTATGTCCATGGTTCTTAGTTTTAGAGTTACAGTATCCTGTCCTACATATTCTCATTGGTTTTCATGTACTGCAGCATTATTTGGGGATATTTTGTCATATTTTGTATCATTTCCCATGATACATGACCAGCTTGTTGTGTTTCTGTTGTGGTACGTGGCTATTACTGCTGTTGTTTTGTGTTACATATAACGAACAATGACACAGTCGTTGAGACTATGATGGAGTTGCACAGCATTCAGGAACTTCCTTACAGTTTGGATTACAGGCTTTGGGTTCCCAGCACTGGGCCTCGGTAAAGTGTGGAGCCCAGTGACTAAGAGGCCAACTGTATTACACAGCCTACATAAAAATGAGCACCACAGTTCTTTAAAAATGACCCGACGAGTGCCTACTGACGTTAAAGTGTGAAAAACAACAATATGAAGTGGTTATTTCACGGTTGTTGTTGTTGTAGCTTGGTCAGATCTGAGCGCTTTAGCCAAAGGAAAGGCAGCTGTCAGTCTCTGTCCGGGATACGCGGACAGGTTTAACATGTTTTGCGAAGCCTCTACGATACTACAAACAGCCAGTAAACTATCAGGTAGTCTCTTTTTTAGTGTGTGTTCGTGTAAGGGTAACAAATCACTGCATGTTCACTACTTGCGACAGTTTTCTCATGTAGCATCAAGACGTCCCAGCTAGCTTCTTGATGCTATCAAGTTAGTAGTCCGTTGTCGGACAGCTAAGCTACCGCAGGTCTATTACCGGACAAGCATCAACCACTCCTACTTCTTCTTTAACATTAACTGCTGTTATTCACAACGCAATTTAGACCACAGCCACAGTCCAGCGAGTACAAACAAGCACGTCGACGTAGCACAATTTGTGCAACAACTCACTTACACGGAGGTAAATATGATCGGTGCTCAACAAACCAAGAATTAACGTTGGGTTTACATTAAACGTTAACTAAGTCTTAACCCAGGCATGTTAGCAGCCAGAAAACATTAACATAATGGTAACCCGGATCTCTAAACAAGCATGGATAAAAAGGCCAAGACAATAACAACCATAAACACAAGCGAAGTCAAACAGTTGCTGTGTCCGACAATGGAATTATAACATGAGTAGCACAGTAATTACTGTACCAACAAGCATCAAAACAAAAACCTTCTGGTAACAGCATATTAGAAACAGCTCACTTATGGCTATAGAAACGATTCGTTACTGTTATAACACCACTGTAGGACCACAAGACTGTAAATACGCTGGTGGTGTTTAACTACTCTGTGTCCGAAAATGGAACTATGTGATTGCGCACTGCAGTTTTACCTTGTACACATCTCCGTATGTGCCGCTTCCTATCCTCTGGATCAGCTCGAAATCCTCCTGTGGATTCCGCCGGGACAGGTCGACACTGGAGTTCATCATTTCCACTGCCGATTACGGCGCCGATCGCGCACGGTTTACGAACCCCAACAATGTACGAAAACAGATATTTAAAGAAAAACATACGGCGTCAGAAAATCCCAGCCTGAATCCAATGTAGCTCCAACATGGCTTCCACTGCGCATTGGGCATGCGCAATGGACATCATGGCGTACCCTCTCCATGGTGTCTGATGGGGGAGACGTGTGTTGTTAAATTTTAATGCGTTTGGAAACGGATTTCGTAGTTGAATATGGTAATTAAAATGCAATTAAATTATTACTATTTGCTTACTACTTCACTAGTTGCTTGTATGGATACATATTAAGAAACAGCAGAAAAAATACAAATTATAATCCAAACCTACACTGATTTCACTATATAATGAAAATAAAGTCAGATTTTGGGATTTACACAGGAAGCTGTAGGGGAAAGGAAATGAATGAAAAACACTAAGCTCTATGGCTGCATTATTTGGCTCCCTTAATGTAAAACTGGGCTAAGCAGGGCTAAACAGTGGCAGATGGCAACTTTATGATTCAGTGAGGGGGTCTGTGATGCAGGGAAAAACAATCCCATCTTTTCCTGTTACCGTTTTAGAGATATTTCATATTTTCCAGTGGTGTTAGCAAATAATGAAACAGTTAAACACACAATTGATTTAAAAAGTAAACTATTTTCTGCCATAAAACTCTTAAAAAAAAAACCCATACAGTCACCATGGAATGGTCCCCCATTAGCAAAACAAAAAGCAGGGGACTATGCCAGTGTTATTAACCTGAAAAGTGCTGAGAAGAAATTCACAATTTATCACAGTTTGATTAAAAAGTAATGCAAAAAAAGGCAGTGTCTGGCAATTTTATGAACATGTTGAGATACTGAGCAACATTTGTGAGTTGCTTTTTAAAGATAACCATAATCAATGAATAAGTGAGCTTGGGAATGAGTGCCACGGGCAGGATTTTAGAAATTAGAGGTCAAGCACTGCTGGAGGATTGGAAAATCAAAATTTCTTTACTTGTAAGCTTTCAAAAATAATTTCTCAGCTGCTTCCAAAACATATTTTAAATACCTGGAAATCTCATTTACAATTAAAAAGTTGTAAGCAAACCAAAACATGTTACAGAGCGGTTAAAACACAGTGGTATTTCAACATGGCCACTTTTTTTTTTACATGTTAGCAACAAAGAAAATCAAACCAAGTGCCTTAAAACATAACATCCCTGAAAACACAACAGTCTGTTTTGACATATTTATGAATAAGTCCATCTATTGCTCCTAAGCTGACTCTGAAAGTTGCTTGATGCTTCAATGAGGACACAGTGAAAGGCAGACTGTGTTGAAGCTTGGTTTCTTGGCTTGGTGAGGATTTGACCCCAGAGTGGATTTGGAAAGTCTGCTTCTTAGAAGGAGATCTGGAAGAAGATGGGCAGTTTTGCATCCCAGTCTGAGGCTTTGTTTCAGGGTTAGATGTTGGTCCAGTATCATATTGTATTAGAAGTTTTTTGAGTAGACAGGACAACTGAGGACTCAGGAGGAGCACCAGGATACCACCAGGACGGAGAACTCTAGACACAAACATTTGTTATAATAGTTGCATCTCTATCTTTCAATGCTTATTCCAATAATGGCTATGACATTTTTATCTATGCATTAATTTAGTTTTTCCTATTAAAAAAAAAACTAACTAACTAAAAAACAGAACAATAAGACAGCTTAGGATGTGTACTGATGTGCAAAGTGACTCCCAAGCTAAAAATCCACAGTGCACACACATTCACAGAGAAAACAAGAAATGTTTTCTGTTTCGCCAAACAATTCTAAAAGAAACAATTGAGACCGACAAACATAGGAACAAACCTCTCCATCTCTGTCAGGATGAGTGGCAAGTTGGCAGCCATGTCTATTCTGGAGCCAAACTTCCTGCCAAATGGCAGGTCACAGATCACAGCGTCTACAGTGGCACTGGGCACAGGCAGTACTGCACACACAGAGGAGGACAAACAAGCCTAGAGGTAATTTAATATACGACAACAGGCTTCACACTAACCTCCCACTCACTGAGTCCTATCCAAAAAATGCAGCCATGCATCCACAGTGAAAATTCAGGAGCTAAGATTCAATATTTAACTTCTCAAAGACATGAATTTGTAATATAGTTAAAATTTAATTTATAGTAATTCAATTTATAATTTAATCCTTTTTAAAAATGTGAAAATGTGAGCTACTTTATGGTGGTCGGTCTTATCAAGATATAATTCCTCTATTTAAAAAAGAAATGTACTCTAAGATACCATAAAGACTAACCTCATATAAGTAACGCCAGTCAGGTTTGATAAGACTGAACATGTCATATGTGACATTCAAAGAAATGTGCACATTATAATTTTTTCATGTTTATCTATATTTTCACATGTCTGGCTAATTTTACACATGACTAGATTCATTCATGCACACAGGGCCATCTGTCGTGCGCCTTAAAATCCACTTGTATTGCACTGGATTTACAACTGGTGCGATTTAAAAAGTTAACGTCTGTCCCTCTTTTTAAATGAGAACATTAGTTTAATACAATTAAGTAAGACATGTATTAATAATGTAATATTTAGCTTACTTTACTGCTCTTTTTGTGTGCAGCTGACCTACCCAGAGACGACGCTTTCAGCAGGTTTATTCTGTTTTCCAACTCAGCAAATGCTATGTTCTCACTGGCCTTCTGCAGCTGTGCTTCATCAATATCCACACCCAGGAAACAGGCATCCTGAAAATCCCAGAAACAGGGATTTTTAAACCTCATAAACAAACTTTTCTAAACATTTCTACACTTTAAAGATCAACAGTACATGATTTCTTTTCTGACCTTATGCTCCTGTGCAGCTTCTATTAAGATGGTCCCCACCCCACACATTGGGTCAACCACACGGAAGCCTGGCTAGAAAACAGAACACAGCATACAGCGCATACAGCTGGTTAACCACAAAAAGTATGACTGTGACTGGTTCACCACACTGAATGCCAAGTGACAGACAACTAACATCATACTAAGGGCTCTTTAAGTGGATCAGATGGGGGGTGGTAGACTAGCCAAAGTACTTTCACTTTGTAAAAACACATGCTACAGTAAAAGTTGTTACTTTAGCACATGTAATTAAGTAAATATCAAAAATCTTCCCAGCTCCAAATAGGCAAAACAAACTAAACTATCCATCCGTTTTCTACTGCTTCTCTGGAGCTGGGTCACGGGGGCAGCAGCTTAAGCAGAGAAGTCTTGACCTCTTTCTCCCCAGCCACCTCCTCCAGCTCATTTGGGGGAATGCTGAGGCATTCCCAGGCCAGCTAAGAGATGTAATCTCTCCAGTATGTTCTAGGTCTACCCCGGGGCCTCCTCCTGGTAGAACATGCCTGGAATACCTTGCCCAGGAGGCATCCTAGTCAAATTCCAAGCAGCTGTACCTCCCAAATCGTGGAAGTCCTCACCCTATCTCTAAGGGAGAGCTCAGTCACACTCATTTCCACCACTTGTATCTGCATTCTCATTCGTTCAGTGGCTACCCAGAGCTCATGGCCATAGGTGAGGTGTAGATCAACAGGGTAAACTAAAAGCTTCATTTTTACGCTCGGTGTTTACAATACACAATAGACAGATACAGAACCTACATTACAGCAGATGTAGCTCTACTCCATCTGTCAATCTCCTGCACCCCTATGTAAAACCTCTACCTGGGCCAAAAACCTTTCCCTGAGCCGGAGTGGGAACGCCACCCATTTACAGTAAAAACCACAAACAAAACTAGAGGCAAATCATTTTGCTACACAAACATAAATGGAAGAGCTCTGCTTGCATGATGTGATGATGCCTTCTTATTTGTGCACATAATAATATAACTCCGTCATGGTTTCAGAATTCATCAGCACAATTTTTAACTGGCAGAAGGAAATTTGATCACATCACTCCGATTTTGACCTCTCTACACTGGCTTCCAATTGAATTTAGGACCCTTTTAAAGTCCTTTTATTGGTTTTTAAATCTCTAAATGGTCTGGCACCTGTTTATTTGTCTGACTTGTTGAAGCCCCATGTACCCACTCGTTCCCTTCGGTCAGCTGAGCAGTTGCTGCTAACTCTGTGGGTAACTGATATATATATATATATATATATATATATAAATTTTATTGCTATGTCTGGTTTTATTACTATGTGCATATTAGTATTGTACAGCACTTTGGTCTACCAGGTGTGTTTTAAAGTGCTATATAAATAAATGATGATGATGATGAGTATTCAAACCATAACCTGCAACAGGCACAGAACAGCTGTGTGTACAGTAGTATATACACCTGTATATGAGCCAGTGAGGCCATGGCCCAGGCTGTTGTAGACCTTAGTCCTGTGATTTTTATATAGCTCCGGTTAGCAAGAGGCAACCTGAAGGAAAGAAGACTCAACTTATTACTTCTTATCAAATTAATTACAGATATAATATTAAAGAGACCGGTTCATCTTAAGTCATTTGACTAAACATTTGTGGGTCTTAATGGCAAAAAGGAGTAAGCTAAACTTGTAACAGACAGAGCATATTATAAGCAGTGACAATAAAAGAACTGCATAATGTATAAGAGGTCTGTTGCTGTACTGAGACTTCGATGTATATTACTGTGTTAAATGTAAAACATCACTGTCAATAACCTGGTCAGTGGGATCCCGAGCAGGCAGTAGTCATCACTCAAATGGACATTTATCTACAGAAAAACAACAACAACAATAGATAATATTACAGCTGAAGTGCCAGAAAAGACAGGCAAGACTCTCTGCAAAGCAATTAACTACAGATGGACTATTTATATTGCAAACATTTCTATTGTAAGACAAAACTTAACTGAACTTATAATCAGTGCAATCCAACAGATTGTTTTTCAAACACAACTGATTACCTCCAACTGTGGATTCTTCAAGTCAGCCTTCCAGCCCAGCAGTCTGCTCAGACCTGCTCCAATCACTCTGCTCACCTCCTGTTTCACACAAAAGTAGAACATTTTTTTGAACATATCCACTGAATATGAATGTCTGTTTCTATGTGGATCCCAGGGATTGCACTTAGTAATATAGAGAGATTAAAAGTATATATCCTTTTAAACAATTATTGCCGCAACACCCTTTGTCTGGGTAAGTTAAACCGATAAACTATTAGAGGAGAAATGACAACTCGTATCTCTGAACATTTGTGTTAAGATAACTTATTCTTACATAAGTTGTGGTGAGTGTTGTGGTAGCATTAACATGTCGTGTTTTTCAGTGGTGGGAGAAACTAGAGCTCTTGGAGAAACCTGCTCAAAGCACTGTGAGAACTTTGAGACTTTACACTGAAGACTCATACCTACTTTAAACCCAGGTGCAGTTAATGCTAACCACTGAGCTACCATGCTGCCCCTGCACTTCATTTCTGTTAAACACCTGTAAAAAGAAGCAGAGACACAGACTTTAACATTTCCTACCTGTGCGCCCAAGCATCGTGACAGAGATCCAGAACATTTGCAGCTGATCCTGAAGGAGACCGGGATACAGGAAAGCAGCTCTGGTTTATCCTCACAGGTTGTCAGCAGTGTCTGATTTTTTTCTCCGGTGGTCTTCACTTCATATGGAGATAAACACGAGGAGACATAAATATATAAAGACTTTAACCTCAGAAGTCACTGATGTATAAGCCGTCTCAAAAATAAAATGTTGCCATTGCATTACCATTTTCCTGACTTTCTTCAGTGAAATCCTTTGCTATGTCATCCATCTTCCTGCTGCTACTTGCTCCACGGTGCTCCAGCCTGGATGCTGTGTGGTCACAAACTGGTCCTCCCCCATTGACGTATGCTCCATGTGTACAGTCGATAAACTCCTCTAACATCCCCTCTGCTTCTTCCTCTCTCGTCCTTTCTTCCTCACATGCCTTCCCCTTTTCTACAGTCTTCTCAATGCCTGTGTCCCAAGCTGCCACTTTCCTCTCCTTCTCCTCCTCCTCCTCATCTCTCTTTCTCTTCTGTGCCATTGTGGATACTCCATTTTGTCCACCACTTCTCTGTTTGTCAATCTCCTCCTTCCTCTCCCCTCCTGTACTTCTAAACTCTACAAGGCTCTTCTCCCCCTCTCTGCTCTGTTCGTCACTCCCTCTCATCTCATCCTCCCTCTTCCTTGTCACTCCCAGGGCAGGGCTTGATGTTTTGATGGTGTTTTTGCTGCCTGTCAGCTCCCCCTGCAGTCGACTCCATGTCATTACAGCACTGGTCCACTGATTCTTGTCATCCAACAGTCTGGACTGTAGCACAGAGGCTGCCTTTGCTATAAATTTTACAAATTTTACAAAAAACGTGATACAGAAGTCAGTTCAGAAGTGGTATGTAAACACTGAATGGTATTGCTTATGTTTTTGTATTAATTGTATGTATAGGTTCTTGGAGTTAGTTTGAGGCTACTACCTGTGCTGGTGTGGGCAGACAGACTCACCGGCGAGTCTTGTTTCAACAGAAGAAAGAGTCTCTCTGCACCCTTCAGGTTACTAACTCTGTTGATCTTTGCAGAAGAGCTGAATAACACTTTACCTGGAATTTGACACACCTAAATGCAAAAGTCCACATTCACATTTAAGAGCTCTTCTACATCTTTCATCAAAAAGTTAATTTTTAACCCCGTCTTATAGTAGATTAACCTTCAGAGAAAGGCCACTTTGGCTTGGTCGTAGTGATTGAACACTGATAACCACTCATGTGGATGGCCAACAGTTTCTCTACACACTGAGACAACAGCTGGCTCAGATCATGTTAACAGTTGTGATCAGAAGTTTGCATACACTCATCATGGGCAGCAATTTGGGACTGTTGATGATTTCTTTGAACTGTTCTTTTTCCATAGTGATTGTACAGCGTACATCTTTAACAACTTTTAAAAAAAAATTGGTGCACAGGATTAAATTTATTTTGTATTTTCTCTAACCCAAGCAGGTTCAAAAACGTACATACAGGCTCAAATAAATATATATTAGCCCTTCTAATATTTGATTAAATGTCCCTTAGCACTTTTGCTAGCCAACAAGCTTCTGGCATAATTCTAATTAGATATCTGCCCAGTCTTCTTGTCAGAATTAGTAGAGGTTATTTAAACTGGTTGGTTTCCTGGCATAGACCTGACTTTTAAAAAGACCCCACAAATTTCCATCAGGGTTGAGGTTAGGACTTTGGGATGGCCATTCTAGAGGCTTAATTCTATCATTCTTTATCCATTCCAAAACCAGCTTTGATGTGTGTTTGGGATCACTGTCTGGATGGAACAGCCAACCTTCAACCATGTGTCTGTTGCCAACACTTATTGAAGGAGTGTATGTACATATTTGAGGCTGTACGCATGCTTTAACCCTGTGCGGATTACATCGCGTGACAGCGACAATCACAAAATTACGTAAAGCCTGACTAAAACGTTTAAATAAAACTTTGCTGTAAATTTGAATATTTCCTATAACATAAATAAAAGATTTCGTAATATCAACATTAGAAGTTAATTATGACTTTTTCCCCCTTTTCTTTCCACACAAAGAGCGTCCGTATATTTGTCTCTTAAAGGCTTTTAAATCATGAAGACCCCGAGGTTTTTATTTTGTTTTTTTGGGGTTGGGGGGGTAGCTGTTAGTTGTTGCATGTAGCTAACACTCACGTCTTCAGCCGCTAGCTTCGTCTTCACCTCGTTGATTAAAAAAGCCTCCATACCGTTACCGGCCGTGCAGTAGTAACGAACCACATTCCCACCACTTCCCGGTTCATCCATGTTATAAAATGTGTCAAATCTCAACAAGCGACGCTCTCTACTAGCAACAGTCTGCTGAGTCTTGTTTGACTACGAAAGCCGCCATATTGGCTTTTTTGTTTACACCGGAAACGGAACTATGTCATTAATTGTTGCCAGTCGTTTGCCCACCAGCAGGGGTCTCTGTTGCACAGGGGAAAAAGTTATAGGTGTGTATTACATTTTTAAAATTAGAATACAAATTTAACGCCACAAACTTGAGTTTTCATATATATCTGTGAGTTTATTTGGACAACAGTATGCACATGTGGTCTGTGTATGTATACACATGAAGACTTTGACCTTTGTTCCTTACATTTATGGCATTGTTTCTATGATGACAGATATGCTACTCAGTGTCTTTTGCTCCCTGTTTTTAAATCAGATGTCACTCTCAACATAAATACCAGCTACAGCAGCCGAGCTGTTTTAGCTGAGGAAACAAAGATACATTTGCTCATTTTGTGTAAAATATTGTGAAGATGTTAAGTTACATTAGGCAGGCAGCTGCCCACATTACACTGTGACAATCACCAGTTATCTATTTTGAAAGCCTCAGCTAGAAAAAATGCAAAATGGTTTGTAAGGTTGGCCACAGGTCTGTATGTAAATGGGAGTTAGAGGATTGCTTCATATTTTGCTATGTATAATGTTAGTGTTTCTGAAAATCCCCCCAAAAATCTTTATTAACAAAGTAAACTAAAAATAGACATTATTATATTTTATAGTTTTAAAATTGGATAACAACTGACTTGAACATAATATGAAATAAAGTCTTTTTACTATGGGCACAGTGAATCCATTGATAGCTTTACTAATCTGAAAGTTACCTACCGGTATATTTTTATTTTTGTAGTTTTCCTTTTGTATATAGACAGGCTAATGCATTGCCGATTCTCTGATGTGAAGCAAGGCAGAAGAATGTACTCATAAAATGAACAGAATCATAAGAATATAACACTAAGAGCACTGCAAATGTAAGAAAAATATGCTGAAATCAAATGGTATATTATTTGAAACCTATATGAGACATTGGCACATCCATTTTTTTTCCAATTTTTTAAATGTATTTTTTCCTAATTGTCCAAATTAGTCTGTGATTGGCCTTAGTGCCCCACAAATCAAATTTATATACAACTAAATATGACTCGAAAATATGATTTAAATGGACGATTCCTCACTTGATGATGAAACATCCACTTACATACTTGTATTTGCCGAGTCCTGAATTTGATGCCAGTGAACCCATCAGCGGTTGGTTTTAAAAAAAGCCCCAAAATCCCCTATGAGCAAGCACTTGGCGACAGTGGGGAGGAAAAACTCCCTCCTAATAAGGAGGAAACCTCCAACAGAACCAAGCTCAGGAAGGGGCAGCCATCTGTCGCGACCGAGTGGGCTTAAAATGTTCACTGACAACTGAGGTGTATGCAAATATGATTTTAGGACCTGAAGTTGAGGCCAATTAGGTAAAAAGAAAAATGCCGAAGCAGCCAGTTCTTCGTCTATGGTTTTATCTCTAGCAGGCTCTTAACTTCAGGACTTAACTTCAGTCCGGGGTGCAGCCTGGACTGTTTAGAGACAGACCAGACCACCTGCACAAACCAAACACTTTTTATTAAATTTTTTCTACAATCTCAGAAGGAGAGAGGCACTGAGGCACAATCTTCCGCCCCCTCGCTGTGCCCCCTCCTTCTGACAGAAACTTCCTACAGAGCAGGCATGAATGCTGCCTGAGTGGACATACACAACTCACAAGTTCCTGGCTCCCTCAGCTCCTCTGCAGAGGGTTTCCCTTTAGATGGACTGAAAATGCATAGTCAGTATTTTGAGCCATACACTTCCATACACTTTGTCCACACACTTTCAATTTTACATTTCTTCCACATGAGTTTGGGCATTCACATTACTTACACGCACCTCTGCCGCAGTACATTACCTGGAGGCGGCTGTGAGCAGGTGTCCACTGAGAGTTGAGAGGAAAACTAATAAAATCCTGCAGCAGAAGTAAGTGGTTCCATTCAATTGTCTCTATTTTTCTTATCTAGGAGATACAGAGGGAGCCTCTTTCCAAATGTTTCGACACTTACTCTAAATCCCTTTCTTATCTGTGTTTCTCTGCGTGCCTTGCGACATTCTGTCTTTTTAATCTTCCTTTTTTTCCTGTGACATTTTAATGACCCCAACATATTTAATCCCTTTACTTTATTGGATGAACAGTACTGTGCCTGCTGACTTGTGCTATAAAACCCTCAAATGTTGGCAAGCTGGTGTAACCTATCACGGTGTGATGCATGCTCACGACAAAGTGTCAAATTATGGTGAGTAAATGTGTTTTCATAACAACAGTGAGGAAGGGAATAACTTTTGATTGATGTAATATTACTTAAGGCGGCAGTGTTTATTCTAGATGAATTCATTAAGTGTGATTTGCCTACAGTTTTTTTCTTGTATGCATATTAAACAAAATTGTATCACATACATAGAAAGATTTGGGAAGTAAATGTTTGCAGTTGCTGTTGCTAAAGCCACTTCATTAAATCATAAAAGCACATCAAAGTGCCTTAGATCTAAACTTTTGTGGACTGCAGGATGGAGATTAGAGCGCCTTTGCTCAATGACACCTTCACTTAAAGTTCAAGATGGATTTACTGGGTTTAACAAGACACCCTCTCCCCCTTTTCTTTACTGCACTCCTTCTCTTTAAAGTTTAGCATGTGCCTACTTTAATCAGCCCAAACTAGGGGATGTAGCCATGTAGAAAGGAGACATTAATACTCTTTTCAACAGCCGTCATTTGCAATAATTAGCCTCGCAGCTGCTAAGTGACTATAACAGCTTCACAATATGGATGCAGCCTGCTACACCAGTCAAAGCATGATGTATTACTGTACATTAAACTTGTTTTTATTCTCCTCCACACTCCATAAATGATGGGAGGAAGGAAAGAGTGAGGAAGAAGGAGGGAGGCAGATGAAGGAAGAAAAAGAGGCAGAAAATGTCAGATGGAAGGAGAAAGAGGGTGAAACTCTTAAATGGGAGAAAGAAATGGGAAAATGATGCACTCAGGAATCCCATGTGCTTAGATATGCCATACAAAATGAAAGCTTTTTATTACAGCTCTATAATGCCAGCCTTATTAATGGATTCTTGAACACAATACATTATAGGAGGAGAATAATAAAAAGTGCAGCTACAGTTGCAAATAAGCACAGAATTACAGTGTTAAATTTCCAGAGACACAAATATGATCAGAGCATCTCTATGGTGATACATGCTGTCATTTGCTGTGCACTAAACATATTTTATGTTTCATTTAACTTAATAAATAATGAAAGACCGAGCGCCAGCGTTTCCCACTTCACACATTTTTTTTAGCATTATTTCTTTCAGCTACTCATTTTAGAGGTCGCCACAGCCAATCATCTGCTTTCTTGTCCCACCTTATCCCTAGAAATCTTTGATTCTGCCCCCTCTGGGTCAGCCCCCTGTATTTTTCTTAGTACTATGGTAGCAAACCATGCAACATAGCTGGTCACTACCATCATATGGGACCAGAGAGAATTAATCAGCTGACATGAATGAACAGAAATGGACTCCATATGAAAAATGGAGCTTCATCTGCTGGGTAAGGTCTAATGATTGTGGCTGAAAGTTTGGAAAAACAAAATACAAGTTTTCCAAAAAAGTTAGTGCATAGTGTGTAGATGTCAGCCATTATGTGGATGCTAATGACACAGCATGAAGCACAGTCACACAATGATCAATTATGCACCATAAAAGGCCGTGCTCTAAACCACAAATCCACTCCCACATGAGTGGATTTCTGACACGATGACATAGGAAAAGACATACAGAAGCTTCGCTTAGGCACGTTTTCTAATCTACACCTGTTCTTCACACACGCATAATAATATTAAGAGACTTATAATCACACTCGCACAGACTTAAATGTCACAGATTGAATGATCAGTTTTCTAATTAAAAACTAAATTGGAGTTTCAAGTGGTATTATCTCCTAAAATTACACATTCAGCATGTGATGATTAATATTCAGCGCAATTTCAAGAGAGCTGTCATTTAAAAGGCCAGACTATTCAGGCATGGTTGCGTGTGTGTGTTTAATTAAGGTAGGTGGAGTCCATCTGTCATGCTCCTCCAACTCCTGTCTTTTATAAGCACCACCTTTGCTTTATCTTTTATTTTCTCCTTTTTTTCTCTCTCCACACGCTCTTTTTATTCTCTCTGCTTTCTTTCCTTTTAACCTCTCTCCCAGGAGGAAGTTTGATCTTTAAGAGGAGAGTGTAAAAAAGATAGAGACCATGAAAATTTCATTACTTATATGTGTCATGTATGTGTGCATTCTTGCCTGTTTTAAGTGCTGATGTGTGTCTGCTTATGATGCAGATAAATAATTACTGCTCTCAGAGGACTGCAAGTGTGCCAAGAATCCATGAGGGGGAGAGAGTAAGATGGAGACGCACTCTGACAGCGGCAGAGCTCAGCTAGCAAACACTGCAACTAACTGTCTGTGAAGGTTCTCACAGACAGTTACATAGATGGCTTCTTTCACTCCTCTTTGAAAGAGGAGTGAAAGAAGCCATCTATGTCCACTATGAGCGACCATCTTTGAACAGAGGCGGTGGTTTACGACACCAACTGTCTGCCATCTATAATCCAGTTTTGAGTTCCCTCCCCAGACGCCTTAACGCCCACTCACATCCTGGGCCATCTGACCTCAGGAATTCGCATGACAAGGTGGGGCCAGGTTTCACAATGAGCTCACCCGAAACCCTGGTTGATTGGGACCCACACCCGCTTTCACACCTTGG